GTTGCACTGCAGGACTCCGTCCCCAGTGTAGCCCCTCTCGCAGTGACACTCGTAGGCGGTGGGCGTGTTGACGCAGGTGGCGAAGGCGTGGCAGTGGTGCAGGCCCAGCCGGCACTCCTCCACGTCGGGGCAGGAGGGGTACGACCACAGCGCCAGGCCCGGCTCCCGCGGCCCGGCCCGGCCCAGCTCGCGGTCCAGCTCCAGCTCCAGATCCAGATCCCGGTCTCTCCGGGACCACTCCGGGCTCTCGGACCTAGGGGCACAGGGTCAAGGGGTGAGGCCGGACAGACTGTTAGCTAAGAGCCTCGTTCCCCGAGTGGTAGCAAGAAGCTGCTCAACCCACCCCCCACTCTCTGCGTACAGAGGTGTCCCTGAATACTCCCACACCCCCCACAGTCCCCACTCTGGGATTCAGGACCGAAGAGATTCAGCTCCTTCTGGCACAGGGCACTCTCACCCTGCCCCGCGCAGCTCGGACACGGCCGCGGTGCAGTTCGGGAATGAGGGGTCACCCAGTCCTCGCCAGTCCCCGCGCAGACACCTGCAGAGAGAGGGAGGTCAATGTGTAGACGACCGCTGTCCTGGGGGTGTTAATGACTGATGGCCACTGTCCCTAGGGGATCAGAAATGCGGATGAGCTCTGTCTGTCCTCAGGGGGTCAGACACGCGGATGACCGCTGTCCTGAGGGGACAGACACGCGGATTACCACTGTCCTGAGGGGACAGACACGCAGATGAGCTCTGTCTGTCCTCAGGGGATCAGACACGCGGATGACCACTGTCCTGAGGGGTCAGACACGCGGATGACCGCAGTGTGGGATTACCGTCCGACGGTGGGATTGTCCTGGTCTCCACACCAGCCGCACTGCAGGGTCTGCAGACAGTCGGAGCAGGAGTCCAGTCGAGAGCAGTCCTTGCACAGAGGGACTGAGTGGACACTGAAGAGACAGAGAGACTGCGTTACTCTCCTCACCACATCTGTCCAACTGGACACAGAGAGAGACTATCACACACTCAGAGAGAGACTCACACACACACACACAAACGCACGCACGCACGCTCAGAGAGAGATTATCACGCACACACTCAGAGAGAGAGAGAGACTATCACACACTCAGAGAGAGAGAGACTATCACACACTCAGAGAGAGACTCACACGCACACGCACGTCCCAGCATGCCTCGCTGCCGCGGCAGGAATGGGCGTACCTGTCGTACCAGTCCCGGCACTCTCCGTAGGGGTACTTGGTGAGGTAGGCGGCGAAGTAGAAACAGGCCTGAGCAGACTCGCACCACGCACACTGACTGGAGTTCGACAGGCACTCCGCACAGGA